GCAGTCACTGCTGGGCTCCTTTGAACAGAAAGTGAAGTATAGCAATTGCACAAGAGCTACCGGAATAGGAATGTAGCTTAGTACTGTGGGAAAAAATCGGTCTACACCTTCTCGGAACATTCTCAGCCATTTCCAGGAAGAAAAAAATGAGAATAAACAATAAACAGATCAATATTTCTCAAATTACCTGGTGATCCTCCGGGATCTGATCGATGATGGCGGACAGAAGTGCAACGCCACCTGATGGTGCATAGACAACCCGATTGGTTTGGTAGATCACCGGCTTAGAGCTATGACCACAGTGGGCTGAAAAAGCGGAAGAATTTCAAGATTTTTTCGCTTCCAAACAATTGATTCCATCGAAAAAAGTTTTCAAAGCTATTCATCAAATGATGGCTCTTCAGTGAACTTTTTGAGTTTCGGAACGGATCATGTTTTATCGGCTCCATGCAGCCCTTTAGTCCGAAAGTCGGAAGTCGGAAGTGGGGCTTCGGAAAAGTCCGAAATGTTAAGGTATCAAAATTTTGGCTTCGATCAGTCTCGTTTGTAGGATGAGCCCTGCCTCCGAGTCGTAGCGGCGTTTCGAAAGCGTATGTGGCCTATACCATAACTTGGTACTTTGGNTGGTTGTTCAGGGTGATTACCGATCACGGATCCGATCCGAGGACCATGAGTGTGTGGTAGTGATTCACTTGTCGTTGCACCACCATTTTTCCGAAACCATAAAAATGGCAACAAAGGTCTGAAATCTAACAATAGCTGGTTGTTGCATTTGGGAGAAACGACTGGTGATTTCACGATTCCAGGAAGTAAAAAAAGTCTCTCGCAAAAAGAATCTCTTACTCATCAGCAAATAGTAACCCATCGGGCGGTTCGGTTTCCTGGAAACACGTACAATCAACCATTCCTCAAAGGCACCTATCTATATAACTGAGTAGTACTCCAAAACAGTAGGTTCGTAAGCGTTTTACGATGGCAGATACTGAGAAAAAGAGCGAGCAGCGAAACTTCGTCACACCTCTCCATAATAGCCGGTAACCAATATGGAGACATAAGGAACTTACCGAAATCGGAACGTTCATCGGAACCGTCTGGGCAGTCGTTGTTGCCATTACAGCGATGACTTCCTGGTATGCAGCTCCCATCGGAACACTGGAATTCCGTTGGCGGGCAGTTTGAGTTGGCATCTGCAAGTAAACAATCACTTATCAATTTAGCTTTCGTAAAGTACAATGGGTCGTTCTTTGACTCTCCCAAGGGGTTGGGTCATCCAGGTCAATCCCGATCAATCGATCAGTAAAAGTACGTTTGAGATATCGAGTGGGGGAGAGAGAAAATGCCTGAACACACACGCTACAAACATTGGTGCACTTGACGGCAAGCCTTTCAGACACTCAAAGGCATCCGTGCACGGGAAGGGCACACCCGAAAGTATTCAGGTTGTCCAGNCCGATGAAGCCGTCGTCGATGGCCTTTCGCAGGCGCTGCTTCACCTTCTTCGACAGCATCTCATTTGAGTAAATGTCAAGATAGGCCAGCGTTCCCATGTCCTTATGGTACCTAATAGAGACAGTTTGAGACGGGCAGACAAATAACATCGTGGACCAAATATTACAGTACCATACCTGTACTGGAATACGGTGGCATTATAATGACCAGGTAAATCAACTAGTAAACTATTAACTGCGTTAGCAATTTCATCTGACGTTCGTAGAAAACTCTCTGAGCCAACATTCTGCAGTTCTGTAGGATAGGACAGATCGGGCAGATTAATAGTAATGCGGTAGATGATGCTCAAGGAGAGCGCGGCGTACAGCGAAGGCAGCATGCCGCGAACTGTCTCCCGAGGGGCGGAGCGCCGGGACTCTCCGAAGCTGCAGCCCCAGCAGCAGCAGCATCCTGTTTGAGCAAGCAACGACGATGACCAGCACGAAGTTTGAATTGAAACTGCTCGAAAGTGGGCGGAGCCTGTGGACGGTCATTGTACGGGTCGCTACGACCCGTACCTTGGGTCCTCGTTTTTTTTTGTTTTTTGTTTTTGTCCACTTTTGGTTTTTGAAATGACTAACAATTCCTTTTCCTCCCTCTCAACAACTACAACCCTGCCATTTCAGTGAAATAATGACCCACTGGAATTTCTTATTTTTTTTCAAATTTTCCTGAACAAAAATATCTCGTCCGTTAGATACTACTCAAGTAAAGGTGTTTTGGAGGCGATGAAAGAGAATACCATCAAGTGGTAAAGAATCATCCTCCAGGTTGCGCCAAACATTCGACTTCCACTCAGACCTTGGACCCATTAAGGGACTTGCAATTGTTACAAAAATTATTCAGTAATTTAGAGCAAGTTTGTTGATTTAATGTGGTTTTTCACCAAATTCGTCCTGAGTTTTCTTGAGTAACTTTCTGGGAAAGACAAAATTTCAAAGTAGGACTGAGAGCTGCTTAACTTTCGTTACCTACAGCTTTTAATAAGTGAAGTAAGACTTGAAACGAATGTAAATGTCGAAAAGACAACAGGCGAATTTAAGTTTCGATGACTTAATCCTGGTCCTCCTTCTTAATCCTGGTCCTCCTTCTATAAATAGGCTCACACCAAACTTTTCAGACATTAGACCCCAGCATCGACTTTTCATTGTCCGTTCCGTTCCGTCCGATTTCCGTTTTACAGATCTACGGAAAGGGTTCTTTCTGGTTCAATCTCAGAGATGGAATGCTCTCGAGGAGTAACCGGAAAAGATCAAGTAATGAGCAACAAGTAATCTAAAAGTAAGAAGGAAAAAATGGAAATATTTGTGAAAATTCACGTCGAAGTTTACAGACGAAGTGACGGAGACATAGAAATTTCTCTTTTGTATCTCTTTAAGTATGCCAGGGGAGGATGAGGTCTGTTTGTGATTTAATAAAAACGTTGTCGTTCAACAATGTAATCTTAGAAGAAGACGTAGTAAACTTTACACTCACCCAGCACTTCTTCACCGGAACTAGAAATTTCATCGAAAATACGATCATCTTGCTCAAGTTCTATCCAACCCGAAGCTTCTTCTGCTTGACAAGAAAAGAGAAATAGCGTAGATATGAAAGAAATTAGTAGGAAACATCTGGAAGTTGTCATGTCCCCATACAGGGATGCGGTTGACTTGGTGGTAGCGTAGAGGTGGGAGTACGGACGTACCTACCTACACCCACTTGTCCACTAGGCGAAAACAAAATGAGCTGATGGCGAAAAATGGGATGATAGGGTCGAGTAGTCGATCCCCGTTCCGTTCTAGTCGATAACAGATAAACGATATATTTCTGGCGCACTTACGAACGGCCCATACAACATCTCGACCGGAACACCTATCTTGGAACCTTTCAGAGATTGGTAACCATCGTGGAAGAGAGAAATTATCCCAAATGGTAACCCTATTAAGGATCCCAATCGGGAATGTTACCCCGGAATATAAAGCGAACATAAAGTGGGAACATCGAAAAGCGAAAAATCAGAAAGTTTTTCGTGGGAAAGCCATTACTATTACTATTACTTTGATACTAATATTTTCTTTTTTCCTATAGCCATTTAAAGGTAAATTAATTGCACTCAGGGTGGGCTCTGCTGGAACTAACCCTTCTGATAAGACTTCATTCCTTTGATAAAGCCCATTCCAGTACTTCATCGCTTTCTGCTGATGTTTACTATTAGCACTAGGGTGCTTCACCTACTTGCACTTCGGGAGAAGCCCTATGAAGATTTCCGTCACTTTGAGAAACTTCGTTTTACGTTTAGGACCTAATTAGTCAGAAATATTTATTTGAGAGGAAATAAGAGCAAATAGAATACCCTTGATCACACTAAGGATAGCGCCATGCATTTTACTATCAATCAAGAATGTTCAGCTTCTGATATTTGGATCTCGAGCCAAAAAAAAAACAAAAAAACCTCCCTTTGCCTTACTCGTTACCACTTGGAGGAGCTTGTGACTCAGTAAAAGGCATCAGAAGAAAAGGAGCGAACTGACTTCCAACTTGCTTACTGGTAGAATGTGGGCAAGACCCAAACGGAGAGCATTGAGACTTACATATATGACTCTAACCAGTCAAAACTCCCAATTATCTCATGAATTCCCGCATGATCCACTTTGAACCCATTGGTAAAGAAGTAGTATCAGTAATGAACTATTCGTGAACAGATGTGATTAGGAGTTAAGCCATTAGGCGAACATTCTGACCCCATCACCACCGCTTTCAGAGCTCCCGAATGAATAGTACTGTTGATAGATTGTGTACCCAGTTACTTTGTCTCCTCCAATTAAATCCGTTCGTATCGCGATAACACTCGCGATGACCGCATAGCGACAGCAAATCCATTGCTACGACGAGTGAAGAACGTTGCGGAAAGGAAGTTGCGGGTATGTATTGCTATGTATACTGAGGTATCATTTGTAAGGAAACTTCTGAGCCCTCTAGAGTTTGAGCCTCGTAATGGTCCTGTTAATGGTACTGTGAATTCTTCCAGATTCAGAAAATTCAAGTCTTTCCTTCTAGGAATCCACGGGAAACCTTCTAGGAGCCCATATAAAAGATGAGTCGAATGCTTTAGATGGCAGCTTCTCTTTTAGCAAGTAATAAACAATTTTATGGCAGTGGTAATAGCCAGAACTGGAAGCTCTCGACTAGTTCTAGCCATTTGCAAAAACCTCACCACATGCTTACTGATATGGTTCAAATCGTGGTTTATTATTCGATTTACTCGGACGGTGCTCGAAGAGTGGGTGGAGTGGTTCTTCAGGTTTTATCGTCTATTTAGGGTCGGATCTCGTGGTTGCCGAGGATACCACTCTCTGAGGAGCTCTGGGTGGAATCTTGCAAGGTTGGCGAGATATGGACAACAACTCGCCCTCAGACGGGACTCGAACCTGCACTTGTGCTATCCGGACGCATCTGGATGGAATCGTTAACTATCAGGTACAGTGGGAGCTCTGCCTACTACCACAGTNAGTTCAAATTGGATTTCTTTGTTTATTTCAATAACCCCACCATTTTGGACTTAATGCATGAGCATGGCGTACACCAAGGATATGCTTAGTCAACATCAGGAATTCTTTCTTCTGTGGTTCCGTGGTTCAATTGTTTCCAGCAGACGTCAAGGGCACTATATGAAGTACCATTCAAGTCGGGGGGAGAACCAAAAAGTAGAACAAACTAAGAGAAGAGGAATGGTAGAATGAAAAGCTTTACACCCCACTAAAAGAAAGGATGCGATAGAAAGGCTTTCTAAGAAATTTACTGTACTTTACTTTGCTAAAGTAAACAACTTCAGGTTACTTCGTTGATAGAACTTTGCAAATCGTCGCATCGTAGGTGGAAGAGAGCATTAAGATCAGAAAGAAGCATCAACGTCAATAAACCTAATGCAAATGATGCCACATCTGACTCCCTCCTCTTTCTCTTTCTGGAACTGAAACGAACCTGCTGGGAGTTGCAAAGCAGTAAAGTCGTGTAGGTTTTGGAAGGTACATACTGGTAACTTGGGATACAAAACCTGACGAATATGCACGACGACTCTACTGCTGTTATAGCCTTCTCAGCTAACATAAACTCTTATGGGCAATAAATTGCTAGTGTTTCGACGGACATGACACCGTCATATACCGCTCACCACCAACAAATCAAGTGATCCAAATAGGGACCGGTAATGGTTCAAGTCTTCCCTGCCTTCTCTGCAACAGGGAAACCACTGGATACTCCATGAAGGACCCAAAGTCCATCTTATGTCTGATAAATTTATTGGGAGACAACTTTCCAACTATTGGCCTCTGGTGTGGCATGACCAAATGTATTATAAAAGTAAGGAAGCATTGAGTGTAGGGTTAGTGCCATTTTCGACGTGGATTGGGCTAGTTGTTGGATTGCGCCCAGCAATCGACTTCTATTAGGATTCATAGTAACATTCGGTTGAGTTTAGAGTTACCGCAGTGACTAACCGGAGTCTTTCTGTGTTCGAATCAGTGATTGTAGATTTCAGACTAGTCTAGCACGCCACCTGATCAACTTTTCGATGATGAACTACACGATGATTCAACCCAGTTCGAGGCATCAATGACGGACCCCATCTATGGAAGCCCAGCACCATTCGGTAATACACCATCTACGCCCGATAAGGAGAGCATGAACAGTAAGTAAGTGCCCCTTGTCTTACAAGTAACCTAGGCTACTTCAAACTTGTTCTGCGCACGGTTAGGTTTCCAACTGAGTGATTGATTTTAGTAGAACTCCTTTTTTCTAAGCATACCTTACCGGGAACCTTCCCAAATCACGCCAATACATTTTTTTACCCTTACTGAAAAGTCGCAAACTCAAAGACATAAGAAGAAGCTGTGGATTTTTTCGAAAGCTCTTTTCATTTCTGACCACCCTCTCGAATCAGGGATCAAGGGACCAGCGGAACGGAAGCAGCCCTTCAGTGTTGGTACCCAACAAGAACGTTGATGTTTTTTTTGGCATTAAACGAACTTTTCATTCATAAATTAGCTTCACTCAGTTGAACTATTCAAAAATAGCTAGATAGGAGATAGCTTCTTCACGCTAAGTTACTCAACAGGTTGGAGGTTGTCAAAGTTTGCGACGATACGAATCAATTTTATTAAGTGGAGGGTGATGTAGGCCAACGGTTGCACCTGTCGTACCGTAGAGAGCTGCAAGCGCTTCAACGTACCAACATTTTGTAAAAAATGTTATTATTATTGCTTGAAGGTGAATTCGTGGCGTATTATATGGAAAACAATCAAATCTTATTCTTTACCTTTCAATCTAACTGTTTTACCATGAGGAGGGAACTCGTTCCGT